AGCAGAGCGGACCACCGAAGCACATAAGCAGATATGCATGCACTCTGCAGTAGCAGGCCTCGCATTGAATTTACTTGACGATGTGACTGAAGCATGCCCTTCCCTGACAGAATTTTAACACCTACAAAGTTTTGTTTAGCCTACAATTCCGTTCTCATTGCTTCCAATTGCTTTATTTTCCGAGTCCAGATGGACTGTGGTTTTGCAGGGTCGTTGGAAAGTTTCCGACCACATTAGCACTGGTGAGACGCGAGCAGTATGGAAAACTCTTCGTTGTGTGACTTCCAATCCCGCACATCATGGAACAATTTGGTATTCCACATAGGCAGATATGCATGCACTCTGCAGTAGTGGGGGTGCAAACCGGGCGCCGCTGCGGGCAAGGAGCCGGAGGAAAGGAGCAGCTTCGGGGCACCTGCCGCCGGTTTGTATGCCGAGCACGACGAGGCGGCAGCGGCCTGAGTTGCAGAGTTCTGGGTAAGTACACTCCTTTGCCCGGCGAGAAGGCGCAAAGCAGCCCCGGCAGTACGCTTGCCCTCACGCCGAGGCTCGCCGGACTTCGGCAGCGGGGTAGACCCAAACAAACATGGCTTTCAGAAGTTTTTCGCATGGCTCTGGATATGTGCGGCGAGCGGCTTCGTTTAGGGACCTTATAGAACCAAACTCAGCCAAACTCCGACAGTTTGGCAGCACAAAGTGCTCACATATAATGTCACACGTATGCCACATCAGCGAAACGGTTGAGTGGCCTCTTTGACCTGGCCTCTTTCGACCGCCGCGCATTGCCCTGCCCAACGTTCTAGAAAATGCGCAGGACTGATGCCATCATTAAAAACGAGTTCTTACCGGATCTTTTCTTTCCGTCAGACCTTTAAAATTCTTTAATTACACCGTCACTCGCAGTCGGATCTTTTTTGTAAGCTTCTTTTTTCCGACGGACTTTTCGAACTGCCTGAGTGCGAGCCGCGGTCGCAGCTGTCCTGCTACCTGGACTGGCTGCTACACGGCTACTGAGGCTGTCAGCGCCGCAGTGGCAGGCGGCTCCGTCCGGCGGGGGCTTCGAGGTGAAGCAAGGCATCCAGAGGCGGCCCTTCGTGGGTTTCGGACTGCAATGGATGCATCCACGGGCCGCCTAACGCTGTGCTTGCGACGGCTTGTTGCACAGCCACGGACAGCATGCTCCACAACGCCTCGCCCACGCGCTAGAAGCGGCTGCACGGAGGGCAGGAGGAGCCCGGTGGCCTCTCAGCCTGACCAAGTCTTGGACAAAGCGGCGCGCCTGCTCGTTCCAACGGCCGCTCACCTCCGAGCCGAGGACGACGAGCTTTTGCGGCCCGTCCGGGTAAGTAGCGCGTTTGCGGCGTTCGGCAACTTTCAGCGCGGCTCCGTCAACCACCGCCGCGCGTGACTGCGGGTGGCCCGTGCGTGTCAGGGGGGACACGAGCGTGGCGTCGCAGCACAAGGCCCCGCCATGGCGCGTCGCGCCATACACGACGAGGTCGAGCCGGCGTCTGTCTTCTGCTCCGACGCCTGGGGCGGTGGTGGGCGAACCATTGCTGCGGAACGACCTGGCCTTCTGCCCCCATCGCCTCTTGTTTGCAATTGCACGTCTGACAAGGTCCAGGTCCCATTGTCGCTGGGAGGCGTTGGGTTGACAAGCCTCTGGCCAGGAGTTAATGTATGCCGATGACACGTTACTGGTAGCGCTTGATTCGCATGTCGCTCGCAACATACATGCGTCACATTGAACGATGCGGCTCGCAGTACGGTCTACCCTTGAACTGGTGCAAAGCAGAGATTTTGCCTATCAACTGTGTCATCCCGAAACCGGACAGTTCCCCCATCCGCATTCGGGAATCTGGGCTTGGCAACTGCTGATTTTCATGCCTTATGCCGGGTGGGGAAACACGCAGTGCTGGACACATCAAAAAAGAAGCACTGAGCTTTACAGCTTGCCAGTTGCGTCGTTTCCAAGCTGATGTACTCTCTACACACTGGGTGGTTTGGAAAGGCCGACATTTGCAAACTGGATGTTTTCCAGGCTCGGTGTTTCCCTGAGATTCCACGCATCCCACCCTCATTTGTGAGTCGTGTTACAAACGAACATGTTCTGCGATGGGCGAACTGTGCTGTACTATCCTACGTTCTGCAACCACGTGAGCAGCAATTTATGGTGCATATTGCACAGCTCCCGTCAGAGGATCGTCGAGGTTGACCACGACACACTTGGCTCTCTCTAGGGAGGGTGTTGTCAGCTCCCACTCTGTGACAGCTACAGGCCCATGTTCGAGACATAGCTCAGAATTCCGTACTTTTGAGCACTGACGATTCACAGGCCTACGGCCCGCTGCTCGCACGATCGTAGGGGCTCTAAACTC